TTTTTTTTTTTTTTTTTTTTATGGTCTTTAGAAACTTCTGTAGGACTGTCCTTGTTGTGGCTTTCTCAGGGAGGAAGTGTTTTTTTCTTCTTTTCAGGCATAATGGTGGAGAGTTTCATTATTGGAAGTCTGTCTGGAGTAGATAAAAGAATTTCCTAGATATGGAGAGGGCTGTGGAGGAAATCCGAGAAAATATAGTTTCTGTTACCTTCTCTTCAAGATCTACTGCCTTGAGAGTTTTGAAACTACCACACATGACTCTTTTTCACATTTCAGCTTTTGCTATTTAAAAATTTGCTTTCTAAGAAAATTGTTGAATGGCAAACTACGCAATCTTAGAATGGCTTATTCATTTTTTATCACGGGCCAAAGTACTGTGCTTATCTTGTAGTAGGTTTTCATGGAATTCATATTATCCTTAATCTAATTATTCCATCAATTCCCCTTTTTTCTCTTCTTTAGGTGGTTAGTGCTGGATATGGCTTGGATTACTCTGCAGCTGTTGATATTCTTAGAACCGTAAGATCTGCAAATGGATTTACTGTAACAATTGTCTTAAAGCCTTTTAGCTTTGAAGGGCAAAGGCGCCAGGATGAGGTAGTGAATGGCATGCAGCTTATGCTAAAAATATCCTTGTAATAATCATGCATCTTGGGGTTTATAAGATTCTTCTATTTTCCATATTTATTGAAGTTTCTGAATTTGCTGAGCCTTCAAAAGATATTATTCTGAATATACTAATGGTCAAATCAATTTCAGGTTAAACATCTGGTAGGAAGGCTAAAGGAACATACAAGCTTCTTAATCGGTGAGTTATGATTAAGTGAGAGAACTGAAAATATTTGAACTCATATATATTTATTTTCTTCATTTAAATTGAAAATGTGAGGTGGTATTTCCTGTCCATGGATCCTAGCATTGTTTGCCAGGACACCACACTTTGAGACTAGTATGTGAATCTTAGTTGAAGGGATGTTAGGATTTCGTCTCCCGATCTTTCTAGGTTATTCTCTTACTGTTCCTTCTTTCATATCTTATCTACTCCTCCTCTGTTGTCTTTGCTTTTTCCTCAATCTGGAAGGTTAAAATTCTAAAGAAAATTAAGGTGTTTGCATGGCTTGTTTTACATGGAAGAGCTAATACCATAGAACATGTTTTAAGACATTCTTCCTGTGTTCACATGGGAGAGCTAATACCATAGGCATTTGCGTGGCAGATTTTACAATGGTGCATTCTTCGCAGAGGCACGAGGAGGATCTTAATAATTTGTTTTGGGATTGTTAGTTTGCTCAATTCCTTTAGAGTCGTTTGTTAAGATTGTTCGGTGTTTGTTGGGTTTGGAATAGAAAAGATAGGGTTTTGTTGGGGGAGGTGCTTACGAATCCTTCCTTTAAGCAGAATCAAAGTTTTATGGCAAATTAGTTTCTTTGCTATTTTGTGGAACATTTGCCTTGAGAGAGATAATATTTTTTTTTAAAGAGATTGAGAGATTGAGTGAGGAAGTTTGGGAGGTGTCTAGGTTTAACGCCTCTTTGTGGACGTCAGTCTCAAGGTCTTTTTGTTATTATGAGCTTGATCTTATACTCTTGGATTGGAGTCCTTTTTTTGTAGTTTGGGTCGAACTTCATTTTTTAGGACATTTTTTTGTATGCCCTCGTATATTCTTTCATTTCTCTCGTAGAAAGCTCGATTTCTTATATATATATATATCCTTTTGAGAAGAGTGATCTACACGAAATATTAATTTCAATTAGGTAAGATCTGTGACCACTTTATCCTTTCTTTTCATGCACAGATATTGACACCGATAGACTACTTGAAAAGGACTTGGTCACTCTTGATGAGGCTGTGAGATCTGCTAATAGTGCTGTCTTGATGGCTATAAATTCAATATCCATTATCAAGTCTGTAAGTTCACCTTCTCTGCCATCCATTTGGTTTTTAAATTTCAACTGCTTTATTTTTACATTTTTTTTTTCATCTTGAATATATCAGGAAATGTTGACTAAGTTCATAGATGAGCCTCAGAATAGTGTGAAAGAGCTTGGTGTTATAGACGTCATGGAAGTAAGTTTCCTCAATTTTGTTTTGAGTTGGAAATTGGTTGCTTCTGGTGTCTCGTTTGTTACTTGGTTGTGTTCATCATTATATTTCTTAGATCAGACTATTTATGAAGATATTATTGGCTAAAAAATAAAAATAAAAGATTCTGGGAGAGGATACTTATCTTGTTCCTTTGCTTATATTTATCTCATGTACATATATAAATAAAAGATTCTTGTGTATAGGCATAAAAGATAGAATTTTTATTGTGTAATCCAACAGGAAGCAAGATGTCTAGATTGCAATGGCACTTGTCTTAGTGAAAGAGGGAGGAGCTATTCTCCTCTCCTTCGCATGGTATATACCCTCTCGAGAGTGGGTATAGTATAATACCGAAATGAGATAAATTTTATTAAAAGGATTCTATCTTGTTTACAAAAACAGAGTATTTATACATATCAGAAAACTGGTTTTTTTTTTTTTTTTTTTTTTTTTTTTTTTAAAAAGGATGCAATATTTTTTATTAAAGAGATGAAAGGAGGCTAACGCTCAAAAGATAAAAGCTCCTTTGAAAAGGAGAAAACAATAAATGAAACATAAAAAATAAGAGCAAAAAAGAAAGGGAATTATGAAGAAATAAAGGCAGCCCAATTCAAGTCAATATCTTGGAGAGAAACCATGATTGGAATGTGAACATCGAAGAGAGGCCTTCAAATGAGCCTTCTCAAAGTGATCAAACCATCAACGATGCCTTTTCAAAAACTCTGTTTTCTTTCGAACCGTAACTCTGAGATAATTGCTTTAACAGTATTGATCCATAAGAGACGAGGCTGAGAAGGAAACTAAAATTAACTCAACTAATGATTAACCAACCAACTAGTATTTGTGAACCTCCTTGTGGAGATTGGTAACTCTTTTGCCATCACCTTGGCTTCTAAGCTTAAATCAACACAAGTGGGAAGGTTAATCAAATCCACCTTAAATCCAGGCAATTTAGTATACCCCATATCAAATGAGGACTTCCCATGATTGCACATTTAATTGTAAGTGAATTTCGTTTTTGCTCTAGAGATCCCATTGCCTTGGTTTATCTTCATAAGGCACCTAATCTGGTAGCCCAATGTGCGCTTTATCTTCCATCTCTATGTCTGGTTTGGTTTATTCTACCATTGAACCTTGTGAGGTCAATTTTTAACCAAATGTAACTGGTGGCTCAAAGCTTATGGAGAGTGGGGTGCTTCTGCATTTAAATTGGATTGAACCCCAATGTTTTTTTTAAAAAAAAAAAAGAACAAGAAACAATACTTTTCATTCAATAAATGAAAAGAGACTAATGCTCAAGGGATACAAGCTCCAAAAAGAAGCAAAATGTAGAACGGAATGTAGGAAAAATACTATGCCTTGTAAACAGAAAACAAATAAAAGCTAAAACATAAAACACCAACAGGAAATTATGAGAGCTGCTGGAGCAACTGAAAGCAGCCAAGAGAGCAAGGCTTCAAAAGTTTTCTGAAAATGGAGCACTGGCTCAAAGCTCCAAGAAGCAAAAAGATCCATCCAACAGGCAAACTATATAAATGCTACGTAAGGAACTGCTTAGAGAGGGAGAAAGACTTCCAACAGAGGGTCAAACTTGCAGCTCAGAAAGTTTTGAAGCCTTAAATGCAATGGAAACTTTCTTCCTACCATCTGGCCTTTCACGATGAGCTTTGATGCCATCTTGATGTTTGGTCTTTCCTAATCAAACCTTCAACGGCTATTTCAAATCCAGCTAGCCACAAACTGCTAGTTTAGTCACTGACCAGTTGATTTACGAAGGCAGTCCTGCAATAAGTGTTTTAGAGATATTTTAGCCTTTCCAGTAATCAATGGATTCTTTTGACAGACTCATTAGCGGTGTATCAGTAACCGTCTTTTGGATTCAAACTTCCTCATATTCACTTATGGAACTTCCTCATTATCAGAGGTCTTTCAAGGAATCTAGAATCCTATGACTGGGTTTAATTTCTCTTTCAAGTGTCTGTTTCTAAATTGTTTTTTTTTTTCGACTTTTGTAAACTCTAATTTCAATTCCAGTTTTTTGTATAGATTTCTACAATGGACTCTTCCTCCTTTATTATCTATTTGTTTCCTTCTTTTATCTTGAACGAAAGCTTTGTTTTCATTAAAAATGATGGAATTTCTACTATCTATTGTTTATGTAAAATTAGTTAAATATTTGGTGTCCTAATTCTTATCCATATTGGTACTAGGTCTTTCTTATAAGAAGACCTAAATTGCACATATTTCACAATCAATACGTTGTTAATCCTCTCAAAATTAAGATAGTATTAGAGCAAGAGATCCTGTATTTGAACGCTAGTAATATCATTTCCTCTCCTATTAATATTGATTTTCACTTGTGCAAATTTCCAAATTTCACCTTAATCCTAGTAATCTCACCTTCTACAAATTTCCAAGCCCAAAAGTTTAAGAGGAGTGTTAAAATATTGATGTAATTAAATTTACCCTAACCAATCAACTTAAACTTTTCGGTTCAGTGACGATTTAACAAAAAATAAGAAAATATTTCTTTTGATGGATTGATTTGGAAAATAGGAGCCCTTTTACGTCCCATATTTTTATTTTCCCAATTAATCTTTTGCTTGCAGAATCAAATCCTCTAATTTTGATGAAATTGTTTTATATCATGTGAAAGAAGTTCTCAACAGCTTCTTTTTTTTTTTTTTTTTTTTTTTTTTGTT